CGCTATTCATTTCCTATGAATTCTGATGGATATTTGACTAGCTATATGTATATTTTACCAGTTGACTGTCGAGGATCGGGTAACGTTGGAGACCGTAGAGTGTGGAAACTAGCCGCCCAGTCTCTCAAGAAGTCATGGGCAGTCGCGGCTGCGTGTGGACTTGTGCACGGCTCTGGTTACCACGATTAAAGAGAAGTTTTAAGAAATGAGAAAATATTGTGTTTTCAAATAAAATGTTTTGCCTATAAATTACCATGTTTAAGAAATTACATCAACTATGGATGTAGTATTAAACAATAATTTTCTTTTAAAAAAAACGAAACACAAAATCCTAATTTTTACCTCGGTTGATTAATGGATCCATAGATTTTGTAGTGATTCTGTCTTTACACACAATGTATACTTCACATGTTTCTGGTGCGTATCTTAAAACGGTCAGTGGTACTCCTGTACCTTTTGTTCTCCTAGACCGAAAATATCGCTGTTAGTGTATATAACCGAGTTAATTAAGAAGAACGTAAACCAAAACCGAACTATGTAAATTTACCATGTGAATATGTTTGAAGTGAATGATCCCATAACCAAACTGTTAACTCCTGATTTGGATATCAATCTGACAAGTGCTTTTGCAGGATCGTCGTACTCTAGCAATAGAGTCTCTACCTTACACTGAAGGTTACAATATTTCAGGGAGTTTAAAGTTTGTCTCTTAATTTATCTAGATTTATAAACCGAAATAAAACAAAACCAACCTTGGTACTCCTAGTACTCTTGCACATTTTCAAAAAGGGAACAAAGACTGTTTCATATTCTTTTTTCACGTCTCTTACATACATTTCCACCACACTCTCCTCCACTTCTTCCACCGGCAATCTATCTCCGGCTGTAACAACCCACATTCTCGTAAACATTAATATCAAAATATCTTTAAATTACAATGATAAATTAAGTATTTAAAAGATGTCAAACAAAAATTTTGATAAGTCGAATTAGCTAATTTACTTTTTAACATACAAAAAACGTAACATTTTCACCTCATTAAAATCAAACTACGAAAAAGTAATTACTTAATCATTTGATTATCATACGAACATAATTTGTAAGATTTGTGAAACTTACTTTTCACATTTTCTTCCTTCATGTTCTATATATTTGGTGTGAAAAAAAAAAAAAAAAAACTCGTAATTATTATTTCCTTTCTGTCTTTTGGTTTACTTCATTTTATCTTTATATCATCTACATTAGTTTTTTAATAACAATAACAAGAAAAATGTGAATGATTGAGAGAGACTTACTGGGAGTAGGAATAGAAGTAATGGTAGGGATGACGTGGATCATCACAAATTTATCAGCCTTCGGTAAAAGATTATCGACAGCCCACCGTACGGCACGACGACTTCCTGCACCGCCTAATTTGTCTCCGATCAAACCCTTCACGGCCACCGCCACAAACAGCTGACCCTCTTCCGCCTTTGGACCACCACCGCCACTCATTTCTTGCGTCAGCATCACCACCATCTAATCAATTATACTTACGTATACCACAAGTAACCAAAGAATAACTTGTTGTTGTTGTGACTGAGGAACCCTTGTGGGCTGATACACTTTTGTAGTTTTGTTTCTGAATTTGGGTGGGGAAATGCTATTCCAGAGATGGATATTACTCTGATCACGACTATATTGTATTGATCTCTTTATATATATATATATATAAGAGTCGTTTAGGACCAAGTGTTTAAAAATGTAAAAAAAACAAATTTGATTAGTAGCCGAACAATGATTGGTCGTCTTTCGGTCTATTTGTTGCTTTGGTTTGTTTAATCAATAATTAAAGTCCTAAGATATGTTTTAATATAAACTTGAACAAACAAAATATATGAGTTTGATTGTAGAAATGCTTTAATTAACACTCTAAGTCTAAAGTATAAACAAAATAACAACATCAAAAACTAAGTGATTGTAGTGTAGGCGTAATAATATTGTGATAGTCCGTTCTAAAATTAGTTTATAAATGCTATTTTTTTATGGACCACTATTAATTATTAAATCTCAAAAGAATTATTTCTAAACAATGTTGTTTACTTAAGTGATATAGTGCAGTACAATATAAATTTTTTCGTATTAGTTTATAAATACATAGCTTAAAAAAATATAAGAAAATACGAAGTAGACTCATAGGATTGGATTATATAAAATCAGTCTATTGACTTTAGGAACAAACAAAAGATATAATTTGATCTGTTTTGAATTTTGTTGGTAATCACCGATATGGATCTTGCAGTCCTGGATATATAATTAATAGTAAAATATGTTTGGCCAACATTAGGAAGAAATCGATGGGATGGAAATCGCCTTCAAAGGAATATATATTCCATTTAATACTTTTCAAATTCGAATTTTTTTGGACGGCCAATTTGTTAATTATAATTAGTGTGCAGCTTTATTATCTGAAGTTTTCTAGTTCTATCTACATGATATTTGAACGGTTTAGATAGAGATTTTTATGTCTGTCAGTTGTATAATATGTATCATATACTATGACCAGTTGTACCAATGTGGGCAATGTGATCAATATAATGTAACCTACTAACTTATAACCTATGTATTTGTTGCAAAATAATTATGTATGAAGTAATTTTGAATTTATTTGAATTTTTCTAGCAAAATAACTTAGCTCAGTAAGCTTTCAGAATAAATAAAGTAGTCATTTTCTATCAGAAGATGACATAATTTAGTTTTTTCTTCTGTGCAAACAATGACATAACAAAAAACAAATGACATTACTTAGTTACGGTACTAGATTAATCTTGAAGTGGTATGTGGTCGCAACAATCTGAATCTTTTAGTAAAAGGCATGAGATTGTTGTGGCCTTGTGAGATAAGTCACATTTTGTTCCGGTTAAAATATGAAATTATTCAGTATTTTTTGTCGCAGACCAACCTATATATTAAAATTCTTTATCATTTTTTTTTTAATACATTGTCTTGAATTTCCACGATTTCTTGCACATAATAGTTGTTTAGGATTTGATCATCTGATACGGTAACGTACAGATCCAAATTTCCGATCAAACCGGTTTGATTTGGCTGAGTAATGATGTTTGCAATTGTTTTCTAATATGTAACCAAAAGTTGACCAAAACAGTCTAAATGATTTTTCATTAATTTTTTGCTCAGCACAAATGAGGATATACCCGAATAATTAAGAATTATATATAAAAAAAACACTAATAATGCACTGATCGTTTACGAGAACGACATAATTAAACTAATTAAAGGTCTTAACGATTGTCGGCTCTCCAATGTTCTTATACACACACAAATATAAATATGATTAGTCCAATCTATATCGTCGAACAGTAATTTACAGCAGACTTAGATCGATCTTTCGTATAGAAGAAAGAGACGTTACCAATGACATTACTGAAATAACTTTTTTTTTTTTAACTACATAATTAACACATTCTAATACAGCATACATTAATACATATATACTCTCACTACGTGTAAATGATAGAAGACGATCAATATTGGCTAGAGGTCCATCTTTGGTTAATTGTTCCATATATGTAGATCTAAGCTATATATACATAATACTTTCGGATTTTTTTTGTATTTCTTAAAACATTAAATATGCAAATGTAAACGGAAACAAATCAAACAAAACTTTTAATTTGATGTCAAGAAAACGATATCATATTTTTTTATTTTAGCCCAAGCTGTTTTTGGGTGTTTATTAGTATACAATTTATATTTAATTGGAGCGAAGCCTACATATAGAAAGTTTAGAGCATCATGTAGACGTCATGTGAATTCTAGGTCCAAAATTATGTACACACTACATAAAATATCATAACATCAAAAGAAAAACACATATACCACACACAAAAAAAAGGGAAAAAAGAAAAGAAATAACCACCATCACTTAGTTTCTGATTCTGGACAAGTAGTTCATGAATCATCTAATATATTAGTCATTATTGATTTCTTAAAGATTTATTGATCAATTCATACATATATTTCTATTTCTAGCCAAATATATAATAGAGCTAGATTTTTATTTTTTTTGTTCATAAAAAGAAAACAGCTTTAATTGATAACAGTTGTTCATTGTTATTTTTGCTACTTAGACGATGGATCATGCATGAAAAGGTACCAAGTAATTCAAACAGTACTGGTATTGGTAGATTTTAGATATATGCATAAATGTGGGGGACAAAAAAAATATAGATACATAAATATAATGGAAATGGTAAAAGAACAAAAATAGATAAAACATAGATAAAGGGAGAAAGAAAAGTACTTTTTTACTTAAGAATATATTTCTGTCCACAACAAGATTTGCTAGGACGAAAAATCAGGAACTATTTCTCAATTCTTCTATGTAGCTCTTTAAAATACTAAAGGTCATCCGATGACCGGCATCAAACCCTTATCCGCAACTTGATACGCACGCTTTGTTCCTTTGCGATCATGCGTGAAATCTTCTCATTCTCATGATGATAAACCTTCCTTATGTCTTGCTCCTTAATTTTTTTCTTTGTTAAAGTGCCTTGCTCCTCTTTGTAACTCAAAGCTCATCATTTGTACAAAAATTAGATCATTTTGTAGCCTTTATTATGTTATATATATTGATGTGATTAGTGTTTGTAATTTGATAGAAAAAACGTACGACTCTGAGCTTTACAACGGCTATTTGGCAATTTACAACGGATATGGCGACTTACGCTATTTTACTGTAAAGATTGAAAATGATATTTGTGTGTCGTTAGGTAAAACATTAGTGAAAACAAAAGGTGGATAGACAAGATATGGTCATATCTATCTAACCATACACAGAGACGTTTGCTGCCATGCATGCATGATGCATATATATATATATATATATATATATATATATATATATATATATATATATATGTGGATATAAAATATATTTAATTTATATACACATAGTCCATAGATAGATAGATAAATAGACGTAGAGAGGGAGAGAGCAGGAGACAAGAAGAGAGTAAGCACGCAGAGCTTTCGAGCATGAGCATGCTAGAAAAAAGAGCCATGTGTGCTCACTCTCTTCTGTCGCCTTCGTTATTGCTATTCCCTTACCTCCTTTAGTTGACTTGCTTCATCTTCTTGCATGCATATGATTTTGATGTTATATTAGCCTCGGTCCCTAAAATTACTATATGATATGATATGAAACAGTTTGTCTGATTTTAGGGTCTATATATAAGGATTGCTAGGGTCTATATATGATGATGCATGCCTAGATTTCATCATCATCATCCACTGACCACTAGCTACGTTTAATTTATAGAAAGATTCCGCCGGATTAAACTCTTATTTCCTGTCAATTTGAGCAACAAGATTCTCTCTTTTCAATTATATATACATAACACATGTCTATAATATACGTACAAACCAATAAAATTGGACTCTAACAAAATTTTGAGAGTGAGAGATCCCACTTAAAACGAAATAAACTATTTGTTTGGTCATTGCATGCGTAAACGACCACTTGAACAATTAAGTATACATAACATAGGTCTAGATCTATGTGAAAGATTCCCAAACTTAAGATCTCTAGCTAGAACATTCATTGATCCTCCAATCAAAAACCAAAGGAATAAAAAGTAATCTTTGTAAGGGCGAATGTAAAACCGAAACGTAAGCTAGAGGAATTGATATTAAAATGGAAGTAAAAGCGAATATTAGTAAAGGTTTTGGAGTTAATTAAATAAAGACAAAAGATGCAAGGACAACGAATTATGAACATCTTCGAAATACGTTTTTAATATTGTTTTGGCATTTGATTTGATTTGATTCTCCTTCCACATTCCCTTGTTCATATGTGTTTGTGTCTCACGCAAGCACTACATAAGCGGTCCCCCTAAATACGTTTCTAGAAACGTCAACGTTTATTCAATCATACCAAAATTTACATGTGTATTCATCAATCAGCCGACCATAAACTACATGGTCCATTAGTTGTAGAAGCAACACCAATTTAAACTGTAGTTTATGGTCCGATGATCGAGGAATATGTAAGTTTATGTTTTAAGTTTTGGTGTGATTGTATATGTTTTATTAAACATTCATTACCTATACTGCAATTTTTCTAGCTTTTAACAGCCATTATGTACTTCACAGTTTGGAATACTGGTATGACGAAGAAAAGTCGAGGTAAAAAACGTATTAGAATAAATGTTTATCGTCCAAAGATCGCACCAGCAAAGAATAAGAAACCTTAACCAACAAAGGAACAACTAATGGACCCTGATCACTCCACATCTGCTGGATACATCCCGTCAGTATCTACATCTCTTCACTCTTCGTTATACTTTCCAAGCAACGATCCACAGTTTATGGCGAGAGCGTAATAGTAGGCGACATGGGGGGCTTGCTATCCCGGTAACGCAACTTACAAAGATCATCGACAAGAATATTCGAAACAGATTCAGCACGGCTATAAAGTCTGGGAATACACGACTCCAAGGCGGGCTGCAGTTTTGGTTTCAAATCCATAGCTAGAAATCATTCTAATTGTTCTTAACTCTTTTAGATTCTTTAAAATCATGTCGCATTCATTGTAACAATCGTTTTTTGGGTGAATATAATTTTACATTCTTTCAAAAAAAAAAAAAAAAAAAAAAAAAAAAAATGGACCCTGAATTTTCTGATGAAGACGTACTTACCAGCTTGGGTTTTGATGATGGCGGTTACATAATACCACTACCGAAAAAATCTCTCATGTTGATTAATCTACCATATTCTTTTCGAGATGAGTTGCAAACGATGCATGTCAGTTTTTATCTCCGAGAAGTTGGCAAACTTATGTTTGGGTGAGGACAAATATGCTCTAGTGAATAGTACTAAGAAGTTGATGCTTACAGATGGTCTAGGACGGCTTCATTTGTTTTGGATGAATTCAATTTTTTTTTCGAGTCAGTATTTGCGAATGAGATTTATGTAGCCCTAGATGTGAGATTTATGAAAGCTGGAAGTGCCAAAAAGAAAGGTGAAGATTTTAATTGTAACAAAAACTCACAGAGTCTTCTTTATGATTTTTTCTTGGTAGATATAGATGAGGAGATATATGGGTCAAAATTTGAAGAGACGGAAGACCAAAAGAAGTGGAACAAAAAATTTCGAATTGATTTGTCTTCATCATATTGTGCTATTAACATTAAACACGAAATAGAGCATCTGAATCTTGAATTCTATAGAATCTCTAAAACGAATAGACAGATCTCCGCGGAGGAAGTGAAATTCTCTACTCATACTGCATTCAAAATTAATTGAGTTTTTCAATTACATTGGAGGTTTATCCTTTGATACTTTCGGTTTGGTGATTTGAATGAAATGTTGGTTTTGACAGAAAAATGAATAACACTTGCATTAAAATCATCAGAAATTGAATAACACTAGAATCTAAGGAGGTGTATTCGATCTTATATTTTAAGTTATTTGAGTTTTTATATAATTTTGATTTTTTGAAGAATTTGGATGAATTTAAGGAGGTTGTTATGATTTATGGTAAAATCCTCTCAAATTCCACCTCAAACCATGAGATTTAAAATTATATATTTTTAATTAAGAAAATCCACTTAAGTCTCTTAAAGTCACTAAAATCCAATCTTTAAAATGTTTTAAATAACAGAAGATTTTTAAGGAGATTTTAAAATCAGTAATTCAATAACATTAGATTTCATGAGACTTTTAAAAATTCATAATTGAATAACATAGGATATGTTAGTTTGAATAAGATATCCTAGGTGTTAATTTACTATTTTTAAAAAGGTAAGGTTTTTTTTCATGTTTTTAGAAAATGTGAGAGTTTTTTACCTATTTTTCTATTAAAATGAAATGTATAAAATTAAAATTTTGTTTTTAAATAAAATTATTAAATTAAATATTTCAAAATATATATATATTACTATTTAGAATTCAAATATTATCGATACAAAATTAAATTTATTTCTTCCATTCGTCTATTTAAGCAAACTAGTAATTTGATCGACAAAAAAAAACAAGCTAGTAAAATATAATTAACAGAATTACTAAATCGGCCGGTTTAGGGATTGCTTTCTCTCAGTCGTCAATTGCACTAAACCACTGGTGGTAATATCGCTGGCGTTTCGCAAGTATCACCGGGAATTGCAAAGAAGCAGAGGACCATGTACGGAGACGCTACAAACTGGAATGAAGATGAGTATAGAGAATCAATTTTGAAGGAGCGAGAGATAGAGACACGCACCGTCTTCAGAACCGCCTGGGCTCCTCCGGCGAGAATCTCTAATCCAGACGCATTTGTTGTAGCCTCCAGCGATGGAACTTTAGCTTTCCATTCACTGAACTCGCTTGTGTCTCAATCGGCGAGTTTTGGCTACTCGAAAGGTCAAGATGTTATGGTGGCTGAACCTGAGAGAGTGGTTAGGGCACACGAAGGTCCTGCTTATGATGTTAAGTTCTATGGTGAAGACGAAGATGCTTTGCTACTTAGGTAGAGACTTAAATCTCTCTTTGTTGATTGATGAGTCTTTGATGAATTGTAATTGAGAGTTTGAAATTTTGATCTGGTTATGTGTAGTTGTGGTGATGATGGTAGAGTTAGGGGATGGAAATGGAGAGAATTTGCTGAATCAGATGTGTCTCTTCATTTGAAAGGTGTGTGTGTGCCATTTTTGTGGTTTTTGATATGAATGATGCTTTTTGGAGCTTAGTGGTTGTTTTTCTTATGATCTACAGAGAATCATCTGAAGCCATTGCTTGAACTGATTAATCCACAACACAAGTGAGTATGAGTTTTGTTCATTTTTTATTCTACTTGATAACTCTGTTACTGAAAATGCTATAATTGTGGGTTCAAATGTCAGTGTTCGTAATAGTTGTGTGTATAATCACCATTCTTTTTCTTATAGAGGTCCTTGGGGTGCGCTTTCACCGATGCCTGAGATCAATGCCATGTCTGTTGATCCTCAGGTTGGAATTGTATTTAAATTTCATTGCTTGGTTAGACAGTCTCACAGGATAACTGTTTCACCCTCTCTCACTTCTTTCGTTTTGATAGTCAGGAAGTGTATTTACAGCAGCTGGTGATTCTTGCGCATATTGTTGGGACGTGGTATGTATTTGACCATGATAGATGTATGTCCTATGTGAATCCAGATATCTTAACTTTCTAAAATCATTTATGTGTATCCAACAATTTCAGGAGAGTGGTAAGATTAAAATGACCTTTAAAGGTCATTCAGACTATTTGCATACTGTAGTTTCTCGTAGTTCTGCAAGTCAGGTAATGATGTTACCATAAATATTAGAAATGCACCTATCCAAATCTGAGTTCCACATTTGGATTTTTGTCTGATTGTAGTCTCTTTCTCCAGATATTGACGGGTTCAGAGGATGGGACTGCGAGAATCTGGGGTAACATGCTCCCGACCATATTTCTTTATGCTGTAATTTCTAGTATTAGGTCATACGTGGTTATAGAACTTTTGAAATCATTTGAGTCTTCATGTTGGTACTTAAGATCCAATGCTCCTCAGTTTTGTTGGCTGCTTCTTACAACTCTATGATGATTCATTTTGGTGATTACAGAACTTTCCACTATGTTATGTTTTGGTTCATGTGGTTTACTTTAGTTGTCTAGACTAAGCTTTGTTCGCTCAAGGGCTTCTTTCTGTTTTGTCAACCAGATTGCAAAACGGGAAAATGTGTTAAAGTAATTGGTTCCCAGGATAAAAAGTCCCGCCTTCGCGTTAGTTCTATGGCCCTTGATGGGAGTGAAAGCTGGTTGGTAAGAACTAAGCAACTAGATAATCTAACATTTTCGCAACCTGCTATTTGTTTGAAGGGATTGTTGCCTCCAGTAACCTAAGAATATAGTTCCTTTCTCCTGAAGAATCACTTAGAAGTTTAAATACTGAACATGTATTTACTGTTATTGGTATGATTTTCTCCTCTTTCAGGTTTGTGGACAGGGCAAAAATTTAGCTTTATGGAATCTTCCCGCCTCAGAATGCGTACAAACAATACCCATCCCTGCACATGTACAGGATGTGATGTTTGATGAAAAGCAAG